AATAGCCACAAAAGTCAGGAGTTGAGAGTGCTTTTCTTCTTGGCTGTTGAACCAACAATGCGGTCGACGGCTTCTAGCACACAGGCTTCCCATCTGCCGTCACGTTGGTAGTCTGCACTCAATGATCGGCAAACTGAATATCTGTTTCGAAGTCGCTATCTGTCATTGTTAGGCCAGCCACCCCCAAGCAAACGAGCAGGAGCATAAATCATTGTTGCCCTCACTCAATCTGATAAGCGTCTGTTGCCAGTGAAGTGGACAAGAAAACCATTCTAATTTAAAAAAAAAACAATCTTGACGAGGTTCTTATTCGCCTAATTTACCGTTTTCCTTCCCATTAGGCTTTCACTTTTGTCGACTGGAATGCAGTGACTTAACTCACCCGCGGGACTGTCGCTTAAAAGGCGTCGCTCCGAGCCCTGGACTAAACACGATTATCCGTCATATTGTTCACCCAACAGTCACCCTTTCATTTTCGTTTCCATGTGATGCCTTAGAACTTGGCTACTCATCAGTGACCGGGACGCGAACACTTCGCCATTGAAGTGGTTGGCGTTGAATTCGATCCTTTCATATCCTCCAATAATCGGACAAGAACACTCAACGCAAATGTTTTTCTAGTTTTCATTATACTTTTTACCCGCCTAAGTTGCAACGACAAAACGGTTCATCAGCAGTGTAATTCCTCATCCCAATGGCTTGAAGTGTCAAATAACTACCAATTTGGAAGCCCAACTCCCAGAACGTAATTACCCACCGCTACAATAAGATGAAAAGTACTATTTCACAGCCACTGCCAAACAATCCACCACCATGGAAACGAAAGAGCACAACGGTAGACAGATAAGGACCCCCGGAGTCCGAGGCAGATCACAAGCTTTGCTCTCTAATGGAAGGATGGGTTCAGGAGCCCAGCGTTCCACACCCACTTCGCCCAGTGGGATAAATTACCATCGATATAATGCTTCGTGTATGCGACCACCCGTACGCCTGGCGACCAGTGACAGTTATCTTACTCTTGTACGCATGAGTTGACCCTCGAGCAGAGCCAAAGCCCAATCAATCACCATTCTCCCTAAATGTATGCATTCATCTACATGCCTTCTTCCAACTAGTGGGGAGCCTCTGGACACTACACTCTAAGGTAACAGGCCGCCACATTTCTGCCACTAAAGCATCTTAGCAGAAAAGGTTAGGAGCACTAGACCCTCAGGCCACTACAAAACGAGTGAGATGGTATCCAAAGTGAATGCAAAGTAAATTAAATCAAAGACGCCATATGATGCACATCTTCTTTTTGATTAATTCACTCAGTAATTAAAAGACATGGTAGCAATGCTTCCTCCAGTGATGACAACGAAGGCGACCACACAACATAACCTAGGAGCAAGAGCAGCTGCACCATTATCATCATCGTCAATTGAAACACCGAAACCCGGGCGGAACGTGAGAACAATCAAAACAGTGCGAAAAGTTGCCGGAAAGGAAGTAAGTCAGAAGAGAATCCAATCAACAAAACTTGAACTAAGTGGGAAGGGGAGAGTGGGGGACAGAGGAGAGCTAAAGCTAGATAAAAGGGAAAAACAAAAATTGATTTTGTAGACTAGCAAAGAGGCGGAATAGTTTACTTCTGGAAAAGTTGTTGCGTGAATCCCATGTAGTCGTAGGCGTCCTGCACAGGTTGACCGCTTTTCGTGTAATAAGGTGGCATCGTTTGGGCACAATAGTCCGCTTGTTCCTTTGACAGATTCTGCAAGAAAATCGAGAGTTACCCTAAATCATGTGAAAATCATTCCTTAGGAGAACGTATAGAAATATGCAGTTGGCAAGGAGAACAAGATGAAATCCGCCAAAGCAGCATGTGAAATTAATCTTGTCTCCCGTAAACAGAAAAGAGCAGGACCGCAATGAAACTCCTTATAGTAATGTAAAGGAGAATCTGCACATTCTACGAGTAGTAACAGATAGGAGGAAAATTTGGAACCACTCAAGCATCACGTGTAGCATTATCGCAGCGACTCATTCACGATCATTTAAGGCTTCAACAGACCGACGTAGGAAAAGTGAGCACAAATGCTGGATTAGCTCGTCATCCCTCCAGCATGAAGAAGCAAATTTGAACAAAAACTGATGGTGCAAGACCACTGGTCCAATGAATGACACGAGCCGAAGCAACAAAAAGAACGAGGACAACTCGGACACAATTTACCAGAAATCTAAACATTAAAGTTTATCATACTAGGAAATCCAAAATTTGCGCGACACTGACGAAGAAACTGGTTCGCAGTGCACCCTTTAAAATCCTGTGGCTTACCTCATCGGCTGTCAGGCTAATACGTGTAGCAAACAATGTGTGCTAATCTCTTTCACCTTTTCGAATGTATGACCTTACGAAGAGTTATCGACGATGGAAATTCAACTTTTACCTACGCAGCGCATATCACATCGAAGCAGAAACTATGAAATTAACAAAATCTGAAGTCAGGCAAAATTCACATTGAGAATCCGGACTTACGGCGTAGAGTTCTTCCTTGGTAATGTACTCTTTGGTGCCATCTTTGGTGAGAGAGCGGAAGGCCTCCTCTACCTCATCTCGAGATTGCACATTCTCCGTCTCTCGACTAATCATGAAGGCCATAAATTCCTGCAGCGTAATGTAGCCATCGCGGTTAGGATCGACGACAGCCAAGATGGCCTCAAATTCGGGATCCGGCTGGTTCTCCTCCACCAACTGAAGGTCATGACCCAGGGCACGTAGACATGACTTAAACTCACGATGATCAAGACGACCCGACTTGTCTTTGTCAAAGTGTTTGAACATCATGGAGAACTCACGCAACGCCTCTTCGCTTACACCCGAGACGTTTCGCGCTTGAATCTGCTGCTCCAAGTTGTGCTGCATGCGCATCACCAACTGGTCCAGCTGGTCCCAAGTCTGGCTTAACCCAACCTAAGAAGATGTAAATTGTGTCGCGTCAGGGATGCCAATAAGACTAGAGTCATAGCTCAGAATCAAAAAGTCAGGAAACCCACGACCATAGTAGACGCATTTAAGTAAAAGTCTACCAAGACTACAGATCAATTTGCTCCTATTAACTACTGCAATCCCAATTGTTAAAAGAGGGGTTGAAACCGTCTGTTCGGCATTCAAATGACACTCCACCAAAGCTGACAATTAAGTTGCACACGTTAGTAACAATAAAACTTGTTGTGACGACCATAACAGTTAATCTAGACGAAGCTTTAAATTTGCTACTGAATGCTGAGCACCTGCGAAGAAAATTCAGCCCCTTGCCTTAGAATAATCAGGGCGGTGGTGGCATCGGAAAACACCAAACGCCGAATTAACCTAGGCTAAGAGTTACTTATTGGTTACAACGACTGGTTTCATAATATTAACTTATTTTGACGATCGATACAAATCAGATTTGTGATCCAGCATCCCACAAATAACAACAGTAGGACTCTTCTAGCCAACAACTACCAACGATTCGTTTAATTTGGTTGTAGGGAGATGAGTCAATTGACGCTATAGCCTCCACACTTACTAACCGCTGCCTTTGCGCACAACAAACAAGCACTGAAAAAACGCATAGCATTCAACAACCGTGAGGCATGGTACAACGAAAAAACGAAATGATGACCACCATTAAGCATCGACAGAGATGCTACATAGCATAATCAAAATATTTCAAGAGCGGATTCTAACGTTACCTAAAAATTCCTACTGCTGGGTTACCAATTTCCTGAGAACTTTCTAAAACCTGCTCCCAACAGAGGCCATTCATTTCATTCATTCAGTCTCATTTATTGTACAAGTTCCAAATTGTATGATATGAAGCAAACGCTGAGAACAAAAAAGCGATGCAAATCATCTGCGAACCACAGCTCTCACATGAAGCATTTACATACATGCAAATTGTCTTCGTTCTATACAACTCGACAAAAACTAAAAATAGAATCGGATGGGTGCTGCGATGTGCGGCGATCGAATTACATTCACTCTGCACTGCAAGCTAGAGTGGCGTGCGCACTGAGATAGTTGATTCACACCACAGATGAATGCCACTCCAGACAGTCATCAGAGCACCTATTTCACTGACAGAAAGTGTGAGAACATGGATGGCTTGAGGTAGAGAGAAATGGTGTGCAACTACAGCAACGACAACTTTTCGCCCTTTACTACAACCAAGAGCAGTGCATTAGCATAGTCTTGAAGTAAATGCCAAAAGCCAACAATGAGCGACAACACACGAGCAGCCACCGGACACATTGAGCGTTGACAAAGGACAATCAATATCAGCTACTAAATCGAGATTTTAAAAATGTACAGCCATTTAACCAGCGTCAAGAGTAGACAATCCACCTTTAAATCAGACTATAGTGGCATTTTAATAAAGAACTCTCGTGATCTGAAATGTTAATGCATATTAAACCCGCATCAACAGCTTGAAAATAATGCTTTGATTTTACCAAAATCAATAACAGGCTCCACTGTTATAAAGTCCCACCTCTTCAATGACAAAATCATACCAAAGACGGTTAAATGTTCATTCCTTGAAATGAAACCAAATTCATTTTCCGCAAATCACACACCCATGCACATTTGGCTGCCATGAAAAAGATGGATCCAGAAGTCGAATCAATAACTTATTTTCATGCAATTATGCATTCCCTCACGGTTGAGAATTATCCGAGACCACAGTGTTAACTGTTGTAGTAGTAACGAAAACAGATGCAAGTGTGTGGGAAAAAAGAAGCACTTACGGTGCTATGTTTGGTGTAGCGATTGTCGAGAATGAGACGTTCCTCAAGCCTGGCACCCAGTTCTTCTATCTGCTTCAACTCTACCTTACGAGAGCGGATCTCCACCGACTTGGCACGAATAGCCTCCAGCTGCTCCTCCAGAGTACCCGTGCCCTCCATCAACGAGTTGCGTACAGACTAGCCGGAGGAAAAGAGATGAATAAGCAAAGTGAACAAGGTTATGCCTTCCATTGTAATGCCTGTGATGTTAGTAATTAAATGCACAGAGCATCAATGGTAGCCTATTTCGGAACACTTGCAAATTAGAAGCATCACAGGAACCTACTTTCCAGCAAAATCTGACGTAATCGATGAATAAGAGATGTAATAAAGGGGATTTTGCTGTTCAACACTCCGATAAAACAAGGAAATTCTAACCATTTTATGTTGAAGAAATAAGCGGAATTGAAAAAGCTTCCCTTCCACTTGACAAGTCTCTCAGCAACCTTTGTGGCGCTGAAACAGTTATCAGTAGCATCCTATTAATTAAATTCGAAAGATGAATAGAGCGTCCCGGGTACAATAAAGAAGTTCTAAGTATAACCTCCAAATTAATCCTTGGGCCCTCTTCAGCAGAATAAAGAACCGAGATTTCAGAAGAAGAGCCCAAGAAAATCTTCAAACCCTCTTCGCCTTGGACATCAAAGCATGGCACATTACCGGCACTACTGCACAATGTCAACATCGACCAATTTTTCAAATTCTTGGAGGTAACCTCTGTCATAACATCCTTTGTTCGATTTTATATAAAATTAGAGGAGTTTCCCATCTTCTTCACACCACTCAAAAGCAAAGCGTTTTGCAGTTAACGAATTTCGATGTGAATTATGGTTGTACTCGTCTATAAGGAAGTCCCGGAGGGTTGCACGTTATGCAAGAGAACCCTTGAAAAGCTAGATTGATTGAGTGAATGATCATTCTTTGCATATGGTTATCTGGCAAGTTAACAGAAAAAAGAAGCTAGTCACTTCCTATGTTAAAAGACATCGGTGTATTTTCGAGTATTTTGGAAAAAATGCATCACCATAGCAGCGAGCCAACTTCCGCCCACACCCAAAACAAACAGTTGATGTCAGGCCTGTGTGCGTGAAAATGTACTATGCAGATTTTTGGATCCTCATTTCCTCTTCCCCATACTTACCAAAATGTCACAAATATGGAGGAAATGAGAAGGAGAACTAAGCTTATTTGGAAAACTTTACAATACATATAGTTCGCGAAACAAGGCAATTGTAATCCGGGGAAGAACTGCCAAAACCTCGGGACATTTGATCAACTTATACTTAAAAGGATTGGTCGACATAATTCACAATTTCTCACTTTAGCAAGATCATTTCCACCACTAAGACAACAACTTATACCTGCAACCAAGCATGGAAACTGTTGGCAGCAGCGGCGAACTCCTGACGCAATTGATCATTCTGCTCCTGCCGGGCCAATTCGCGTCTAAGCTCTTCATCACGCTCCTGAATGATCTTCTGAAGATTACGCCAAGTATCCTCGAGCGCGACCATATTAAACCATGTGTAGGGATTTTCCTCAACCTATGAGATAATACGCGAAACCGATTAAAGCGTTCATCAAATTTCGATCATTTATCAAAAGGGTGGTTTTAACAAAGCTTACACCATAGCCTTTGATCTCCTTATCCAGCTGCCGCAGGCGCTGAAAGTCGGCCTCAGCGGGCTTCAAAGAGGCCTTGAACTGCTCCTGGGCCTCAACAAGGGCCCGAATCTCATCCAGAGAGTTGCATCGCACTGGGTCGGTGAGATCCTCCTCCGCGTTCTCAAACCATGAATTAAAAGTAGAAGCACGTTTCGCAAAGTCCAGATAGAGCTCCTCTACCTTTTTGTACTGGCTCTGCAACTGCAGCAATTCGTTCTTTCTACGCTCAGACTCACTCTTCAAACGTTCCCAACGACCAATCAGAGTATCAAATCTAAAAAAAACAAAAATAATTAAGAAC